TGTTTCACAACAGGAAAGCTTTCTGACATTTTAATTTACCCTAGCTCAAACCCCCTTCAGTTTGACAGCAGAGTTTAACATGGCAGTCTGTTCCCACTGTGAGTTCCTGGTTCCAGAGGGAACAGAGCAGACTAGTTTCCTTGGTCTTCTGTATCTGCACTTGGACCTGTGTGAGGATTCCCTGAAATGGGGAATCTTTTGTCTTTATTTTGCCTACCTGGAAACTGCCAGGGTGGAAAAGCAGTTATGTAAAGAATGTTCCCTGAGGGGCTGGAGTCTTAGGGGTGGAGCACTTGCCTTGTGAGTGTGGGGCACTGGGTTTGATTCTCAGCACCACATATAAATAAGTAATTAAAATAAAGGTCCATCAGCAACTAAAAATTATTAAAAAAAAAAAAAAGTTTCCTGAGCCAGGCGTGATGGCACAAGCCTGTAATCCTAGTGGCTTGGGAGGCTGAGGCAGTAGGATCACAAGTTCAAAGCCAGCTTCAGCAAAAAGTGAGGCGCTAAGCAACTCAGTGAGACCCTGTCTGTAAATAAAATACAAACTAGGGCTGGGGATGTGGCTCAGTGGTACTTCAATCCCCAGTACCCACCCTGAAAGAAACTAGAAAAATTAGAGTCAATAAAATCCAAAATTACTGGAGCTGGGGGGGGGGGTTGTGGCCTCGTGGGAAAGCACTTGCCTTTGTGAGGCACTGGGTTTGATCCTCAGCACCACATAAAAAAACCAAATAAACAAAATAAAGATATTGTGTCCATGTATAACTAAAAAAAAGGTTTTAAAAAAAAATCCAAAGCCACAAAACTCTTTAAAAAAATAAAAAAGGATCAACCAATCGCTGTCTGGACCAATAAAGAGACTCAAATTACTACAATTAGAAATCAAAGTGAGGATATTACTATTGACCTTTCAGAAATAAAAAGAATTATCTGATTATCTGAGAATATTGTGAACAATCAAAGGCAACAAACTGGGTCATGAAAAAGAAATGAGAAAATGGTTAGAAACAATCAAATGACTCAAGAAAAAATAAAAAATATGAATAGGCTAAAATAGATAAAGATATTAAATCACTAATTAAAACCTTCCCAATAAAGTTCAGCATTAGAATGGTTTCATTAGTGAATTCTACAAAGAATTAAATCCTTCTCATTCTTCCAAAACACATAACAATTCCTAATTAATTTTAGGAGGACACCATTACCCTGACACCAAAGCCAAAGACAGTACAATAAAAGCACAGACTTTTGAAATTTTTATAAATTTTTAGAATTTTTAAATTCTTTATGAATATACATCCAAAATTCCTCAACAAATTTCTAAGAAATTAAGCTCACTAGCATATTAAAAAGATGAAATACTATATTATCCCATGGGTTTTATCCTAGGAATGCAAGGATGGTTCAATTAATAAGTATCAATTAATACATAAACCCACATTAATAAAATGAAGGCAAACACTTGATCATTTCAAATGACATATTTAGAAGAACTCAGTTTTGTTAAAAAACAACATTAGGAATAGAAAGAAACTACATCAACATGATAAAGGACATTTATGAAAAACCCAGAGCTATTATACTTGATGATAATTAGTGAAAAGTTTTTATTCCAACACAAGAACCAAGACAGTGATAGGGGTTTTTGCTACTTCTTTGCAACATGGTACTAAAAGTTCTAGCCAGAGCAATTACAAAAGAAAAAGAAATTCAAATTGAAAAGCAATAAGTGAAATTTATTCTCAGATGATAAAACCTTATATGAAGAATTCTAAAATATTATACATGAAAAATTATTATTGCCAATAAATGAATTCAACCAAATTGCTAGGCATAAGATAGACACCAAAAGTCAGTAGTATTTCTTTACATTACCAAGTGAAAAAAATTAACAATTTTATTTACAGTAGCATTAAAACAAATAAAATTCAGATGTTCTTTGACTTATGATGGGGTAACATCCTGATAGATCATCATTAGTTGAAAATATTGTAAGGCGAAAATGCATATAATACACCTAACCTACTGTTAATAGTTCGAACCTTAAATACTCCCCACATTGCCCACTGAGGTTTGTGTGCTAAAGGTTTGGCTTCTAGCCTGTGGTGCTATTGGGAGGTACTTGGACCTTTAGGAGATGGGGTCTAGTGGATGAAGTTAGGTCAGTGGAGGGCATGCCCTTGAAGTGGATCTTGATCTTTTTGTTTCCCAAAAGCTATAAATTAAGCAGCTTTGCTCCAACATATGCTCCCTGCTACGATGTTCTGTCTTACCACATGCTCAAAGTAATAGGGCCAAATAACTATGGACTGAAATCTCCGAAACCATGAGACTAATAAATGTTTTCTCCTTGCAAATTGATTTAAGAGAACCTAAGAGATACAGAAATTATACAATTTGAAATTTTTTTTTCTGGTTTTACCTACTTTCAAGCCACTGTGGGCATCACTAAACAAAATTAGAAAACACTGCTGAAAAACTTAATTGTATATTGTAAAATATAGTAGAGGAGTCAG